GTTTAGTTCCAACATCATGATGCAAGGTGAGGAGTGTCTTACCAAAATTTTTGTTAAGATAAAATCTATATAATTCCTCAGATAAAACACCAGAACCAACAAATGAGTCATTTCCCATCAAACGAAAACCCTTACGTTCAAAATACAATCAAGTTTTGAAATGGAAATTAAATTTCTAGAAATAGTAGGAACATAAAGAGTATCAAATAGATCCAAATAGTGGCCCGACTCTAAAAACAAACGTAAAGTTCCAACACCAACAACTGGTACTTGAGTTCCATTTCCCAAGACTATAAAATTCTCATTTTCCTTTATGTTCTGGATCGAAAGGTATTCCTTCATCGAATTTGAAACATGAATAGTAGAACCAGAGTCAATCCATCACATATTAGAAAGAACTTGTGTCATATTTGATTTGAAACATACATAAGGTAATAGCTTACCCTTTTTTTTCAAACCAAGCCCTACGTTTCGGGCAATTGTTCCGTAAATGCCCATAGCCATGACAGAAATAGCATTTCGGTCCATCATGTTCCCTCTTGCGAGCCTCATTGACATGAGAATGTCCCGCGACCTTCAATGGATCTTTCTTGAAACTCTTCTTCGGTTTCTTTCTTTTGCTTTCAACTCCATGACTCATAACATTAACTGAATGTTGTCCTTGTTGCCTAAGCCTTGTCTCTTCTTGAATTAACATACTTGCCAATTCATTCACATTCCGCTTTTCCTTAATAGTGTTATAATGAATTTGGAATGGCCCATACTGAGTAGGCAAGGAATTCAGAATGAAGTGAACAAGGAAAATTTCGTCAACATTCATACCTAGAAATTTTAGTCGGCACCTAGATTGGTCATCTCAAGGACATGCTCATTCATTCCACGGCTACTATCAAATTTCATGGTAGTTAGTTCAGCCATTAATTTCCCTCCAAGGGACTTGTCCGCTGAACGAAACCGATCTTCCACAGCCTTGAGATATTCCTTTGCATTCTCAATTTGAGGAAGTGTTGACTTAATATTGCTTGCAATACACATTCGCATAAACATAATGCTCAATCTGTTAGATCTTTCCCATGACTTAGACAAAGCTTGCTGCTCCAAACTGCTTGTTTCAGTAATAGCATCTGGTTTGTCAATTTGCAATGCTAAGTCAAGATCCAGAATGCCAAGGTGGAATTGGATCTTTTCCTTCCGGTCAGAGAAATTAGTTCCACTAAATATTGGAACAGAAGAAGCTAGCGAATGAAGCGAAACAAGAGTTGACACTTCAATAAAATCGTCACAACATTAATGCTTTGAGAAATCATTTCCATCAGTAACATTGCTTTCAATATTTGGATTAACTAATGCAATATACT